ACGAAGTAGGGTTAATGGTTTTTCCACTAAAATTGTCTAATGAAGCTCATCATACACCAAATAAACGTCTCAACCAAACCGAGCCCTTACAATGAGTCTGTCGTCAAGTTTATGTCTGTACTGGCCGAACTCAAATTGCTCCCCAACAGCAAAAGGATGTTGCTCCTACCGCCAGTGAAATAATGACCTGTTTCAATGTAACCTCTGATCGTGGCGCCTTTCTAAGTTGCTTTCACTACGCAATACACTGTTCAAGTCGCCTAATTACTCTCATTCTCTCCTGCGTTTCCCGTTCCAGTTGCCGTTCCCGTTCCCTTTCCCAATCACACCATCATTTCCATGCATACAAACTACACCCACTTGAATGCAGACTGGCTGTACTATATGGTTTATAGATAGATTTTCGTGACTACCGGTAGATCATATGCATCAGGTGTATTCACCGTATTTAGGTTAAGGTGATAAGGCGACTGGTAGTTGGATTTTCCCACAATCAAATGAATATGCATAAAGTTTGCATTGAACTTCACAGAGCCTTGCCTTCACAAAAGTTGCTCTCATCCAGGCACAAGTGGACTGCAGTTTCGACTTGGAAACTCTACTTAAATACGAAAAATAAGTAGCCTAGTCGATTACTATAGCAAATATAAGTTTGCTCTATCGGCAATCCCAACACAGAATGTGATACGGAAAAATGCCTGACCCCGGGCAGTCGGGGTAATGTGGCGTAGTGGTTAACGTGTAGAGAATACACTCTGAAATGTCATGGTTCGAGTCCCACTGGGTATGTTGATATGAACTGTGCGAGGTCGAAACTGCAGTCCACTCCAGCCGGGATGAGAACACCTTTTGCGAAAGCAATGAGTATGTTCATCTACTCTCATCACTCTAAACGGAATAGGATAAATGCATTTCATGTAGAGTATACCAATTGGTCTCATGTCCGATGCCCTTTAGCATAGTGTCCTCGGATTAGCCAAAATGTTGAATAGGTCAGAATAAGGCAATCAGTGATAAAAAAGTGTACTATACTTTTCTGTATGGTTGATCATATCAACGGATGAACGGATAGATACATGGATCCTGTAGAATAAGTTAGAGGTGGATAGGCAGAGTGGTGAGTCAACGACTAAACGGAAGAATGGATAGCCAGAGGAATGGTAGATAGGCGCAGTGAAGGTAGCCATAAGGCAAGATTTCGATGGAGACAGGATCATTGTGCTTTAATTTCTCAGAAGGAATAGAGCTTTTTGTGCAGAGTGTATTTGATGCTCTGTATATTTATATGCATGATTGTGTGTATGTGTGTGTGTGTGTGTGTGTGTGTGGAGATGGCAAAGAGCGAGAGAAAGAGAGAGAGAGAGTTTTGTGACCTGTGCCGAACCTGAAGAAGATTGGGTCACTTGTTGAAGGGTCGCAACGGCGAGTGATGCTGCATTTGTGGCGCTTGTGACTGGGTCGCATGACTCTGCGGTCTTCAACAGGTTCAATCTTCACGGCCTGACGCGTTGAATGGTGGAGAGGAGGAGAGTGGGTGAGAGGATGAATCAAGCGGCACAGGCTGGGCTCGGTCTGCGAATGGTATAGCAGATCGAAGAGGCCATGGTGGGGTGGAAGTTGGCTCGAGAAATGGCAGCAAAAGTGTGTACAAATTGGGGTTGAGCTGGGCACGATCGAGTCGTCTGCGATGCCTCGACGAATGGCGTTGAGAATGCGGAAGACCGGGCCTGGGGATGGCCGGAGGTGGTGTTGAGCCTCGGTGTGGAGGCAGAGTTGGGGCGTAGTTGAGGAGGAAGAGGAAGAGGAAGAGGAAGAGGAAGAGGAAGAGGATGAAGAAGAGAAGGAAGGAAGGAAGGAAAGGAAAGGAAAGGAAAAGAAGAGGCGGGAGGAGGAGGAGGGTCAAAAGTGGGCAATCATGGCTTGGGCGAAAAGGTTGGCGCCAGACAGCGGATGGAAAGATGGTTGTCGTAACCGGAGTCTGGAGGGTACAACATGGGCGAGGGCACGGCAACCGTGAGGGCGGGCGGCTCGAGGCCACTTCGGAAGGAGGCGAAAGAGGCGTCTGAAGTGGGCCTGAGAGCCTTGCGCTTCTGGTAGGCTTGGCGAGCTCTGAGCAGAATCTGCGTCGTCGTCTCTGCGTCGTCTGTATCGTCGGTGTCGTCGGTGTCGTCGGTGTCGTCGGTTTCGTCGGTTTCGTCGGTTTCCAAGTGGGTCTGAGTCTGGTGGCCATGGCGACGGAGTGGAACAAGCGAGACGATCGAGCTGCTTTCTGTAACCTCGTCGGTCTCGACTGGTAGCGTCGAGAGATCGAGGACGGCGGCTTCGTCGAACATGTCCAACTGGCGAGGCGAACTGTTGCGTCGTTCGGTAGCGGCGCTGGTTGTGATGATCAAATTCGGCTCAATCGTTCGCTCTGTCAGCATCGATTTGGATGAGTCGTATGGCGTCAGAGTCATCGTGAAACTGGATTCCGTTCGATAATCAGGCAGCGACGACGACGGCGACAACAACAACGACGGCGACGGCGACGTCGACGTCGACGTCGACAACGACGGCGACGGCGGCGACGTATTGGCGAGGCCGGAGAACAGGGCTGTGGTGGGTGTCTTGAGGGGGCTGGAGGCGATGCTCAACTCGAAGTTGTCGCTTTCCGCCAACGGAGCGTCGACGTTTCCCACCTCGTTGACCTCATTGACCTCGTTGACCTCGTTGAACTCGTTGACCTCGTTGACCTCGTTGACTTCGTTGACCTGGTCGAAGCGGTTGTCAAGCTCGAGGAGGACGAGTCGCTTTCTGGGGCTGTGCGGTATACAGTCCGATGGGGTGGCCGGACAGTTGCGATTGTTGGGCTTGCCGGGTTTGTTGGGGTTGTTGGGGCTGGCGGAGCAGGTGAT